TCATATTTTAGCCGGTTTGAAGTTAAAAATGTTTTGATGGATTTGTTTCTTACAAACACTCAGCTTTTTGCTTCATAAGTCATTAATTGATGGACTGGAGTGGTGTGGATTACTTGTGGATTATTGTGATGTTTTTATCAGCTGTTTGGACTCTCATTCTGACGGCACCCATTCACTGCAGAGCATCCATTGCTGAGCAAGTGATGCAATGCTACATTTCCCCAAATTATTTCAGATGAAGAAACAAACTCATCTACATCTGGGATGGCCTGATGGTGTCTAAATTCTCAGCAAATAAAAATTTTTGGGTGAACTTTTCCTTTAAGGCATTGCTACCTGTGTCCTGGCCAATATCTGGGTGGATGACACTGATCAGAGAGACGGCGTCGCTAGGATTCTCTCCGTATTGGAGAGCCGTTTCGACCTGGTTGTGCGATCTTGCTACGCTGGTGTCAGAATCCCAGAGCCAGATATCTTTACCAATGCCCTCGAGAAACTTGCGGTTAAACCTCAAGAAGTAAGTGCAGTAAATCACTTCAGAAGCTCTCCAATTGGAAATTGCCAGCAGATTCAAAAGCTGTTCGTTAAGGATGTAACCAAATGCTCTTATAATTTACTTGATTAAGGCAGTCTGGCTGGATGTGGATGAAGAAAGTGTCAAGGCAGCTGAAGTTTTGGGAATGACGGCTGTTCAAGTCAAGGACATCATTGAGGCTCTTAAGGAAATCCAGAAGCTTACAGGAATAGAGGTGAGGAATTCTGACCTTTAACCACATAATTCCAAGATTGCATCGATACACTTTAAAAAATGATTGCAATTTTAATGGTAAAAGACTGCAGAAATGCTACGGTAAATACCTGTTAATTGGTTAAAGGCAGGGTATGTGATTTTTCAAAAACACTTTAGAAAACTGATTCGGGCCGAATAGCAAAACAAACTTGTAGCCAATCAGCAATAAGGGGCGTGTCTACTCATGATGTGGAGGAGAGCGCGTTCAGTGCATGGGACGGACATTAGCCGAGCC